CTTTTACTTACTCAAAATTTAGTTTACCCAACCATTTTCTCTTCGGTGCCACCCCCCGCCATAAATAATGACCGGTCCCTTATATCGTAACTGTATCGGAGGTGTTGGAACAACCTTGCAACAAATCTGATAATATCAACAAGGTTGTTACAGCTTGGTCCAAACTTGTTGACAACTTGGAACAAGCAGTTCGAACACAACTTGACGGCTTGTTGGCAGACTTGCTACAAGATTTTTGCGTGTGTATGTGATCACAAAGATTATTACTGCTCGGCTGGGAATCGGAATTTGGCGGAATTTTGCTCACTGGTTATTGCACTAAATTTGATTGGTCGAATATCGTAAAAACAAAACACTAAACCTGATTGGTTGCACCCAAACGAGACAAGAGCAATAAAAATTATAAATTCAGTCAGTCTAAACTATTGACTCTGGTCTAAAGGAAAAGTCAATAATATTTGATACAATATTTTCTTCTATTCTAACAGTCGCATAATTTGTGACTATTAAATTTTTAATAAATCAAAATGACTTGTAGATTTTTTCAGCACACGAGGCTACACTTTATATTGAGTTTGTGGCTACGCAAATATAAGCGAGCGTTGGTGGTGTAAAGGCTAGCATTGCTGCCTTCCAAGCAGTAGATCCGGGTTCGATTCCCGGCCAACGCACATTTTCCTTTACCATTTTTTTCTCCACGCGAAACTTACAGCACAAAATAATTTTGCAAGAATGATGTTCCTTTGGCACTATAAAGAACATGATTTTTTTCTGAGGGCAGAGCAACGTTATCTAAGGCAGATATTTATGTAAAATATCATGAGAGAACTCGAACCAGGGCCAAGAAAAAAAATATTGCGAATCAAAAAGACCAGTTTGAATAAAATATGAAGAACAATGAATGTTTGTTTTCACACGTGACAATAATATTGCGTAATTTGAACTAGTCTCCAGGACCCCAGGATTCTCCACTTTTTCCATTGAAATTTTTTAAAAATTTATATTTTTATTTTATGATACTATATTTTCGTTTTAAATTTTGCATGGCTTTGGATATTGAGCAATATTGTCTTACCAAGGTACTCTTTCAATAATTTGTTAATTTTATCAGTTTGCCAACTTGATTTTATAGAACATTAGTTTATTTTATTTTGTTCGTAGACATTTCCAAAGATATATTATATCCCAAATTTTATAACCGAGGAAGAAGAAAGACTGCTTTATGAACAGGTTTCAATGTAAAATTAATTAATTAATGGATAATGTCAGCTTCATTTCAGCCCCTGAATTCTCTAACCAACTCCCCCCTGAATTCTCTAACCACTCTCCCCCTGAATTCTCTAACCATTCTTCCCCCCTGAATTCTCTAACCATCCTCCCCCAATTCTCTAACCACCCTCCCACCCCAGAATTCTCCGGTTTACTCATGTAGGTCATTTAGTAACACCGACCAATATAGATACTAGATCTCTCAGTAGAACAGTTTAGAACAAATTGATATGTTTCCAGCATAAAAATTAAGTAAAGTTATATTTAACTTTCGAAGGTTTACGCTGCTCCCAAACCCAAGTGGACTCCACTGTCAAACAGGCGACTCCAGAACTGGGGTAGGTGTCTAGGAACGGTGTTCTATATGTAAGATATAAAATGTCATTTACACTTTTTACAATGGTCATATTTCTATATTTTTAGGTGGCCTACCACATCCAAAAGTGAGGAAATGTTTACTAGTTATCTAATGTAAATATTAATATAGTTAAAGTTTGATTTCATAAATATTTTTCATAACATTTTCTTTACAATGTTATATATAGTAATCTTTATTTTTTCTTTTAATTCATTTTGAAGGGAATGATTCCTGAAAAGTTGCCTGCAGTAAGTCTGAGCATAGTAATTTGTACATATCTTCACTTTTAGCATGCTGAAGAGCATCATGAACAGCATATTTAAATAGTGTAATACAAAAAACACCACACTTGCAGTACTTATGAAATTTACTTTTTTTGTATTATCTTTGACTCCAAGTGGCTGTCACGTTATGCAGAAAAGCTGGCGTCATTTGGTATATTCGGCAATCATATTCCAAACCATGTATTGGTCAATGAATATACACCTGGCCAAGGCATTATGGTACTGAACTTGGATATTTCTAACTTTCTTTGTAATTGTCAGTCTCTAGCTAATGCCACTAGTTCTATTTCTATAGCCACATGTAGATGGTCCATTATTTCATCCAGTGGTAACAACAATTAATCTTAAATCTCACACATTGTTGGACTTTTACCTCCCTGGCAATGATGGACACTCAAATGATACTGATGTAAGTCATTCATTGGTCTACAGTATTGACAGTTGTGGAAGTTTTGGTGGCAGGGGGGGGGGGGTGCTGCAATTTCCCTCATACCAAAGTTTATATACCTTTGCTAAAGTAAATAGAGAAATAGTCCCTATTGCTCATAACGTGACATCAGCAAATTCATGAGCAAATTCAAAGGAAATGAGCAGTGTATTGTTGTAATAAAAAATCATAAATTAAGTCAACTTTGTCTGCTGTTGAATTTTATTTTATTTAACCCATGAGTGGCAGCACTTCCTCCAATAAAATTGTTTGGTGTTGGACAGAGTACATAGATTAGTGAACTAGGGGGCATCAGGGCATATATTGCCATTCAAAGGGTCGAATGCTGGTTTGTTTGATTAGTTAAATCATGTACTCAAAGTGTTTTCAAATTATGTTAAAAACTTGGCTAGCTCCTCGTGTTTCAACACACCTTCTGGTGCTTGTGTTTCTCTAACTACAGGAAAACGACAAGGAAGATAACAGCTCACTAGAACAACGCCATTTCATGTCTTTATTGCTCGAACCAAGAAGTCTAAACATCTTAACAGAGGACATGTATACAAAATATCTTCATGGTATTGCCGAACGTAACGTTGATCTCCTAGACAGTAAAGTTATTAACCTAGATTCATGTTTTAATGTTCCAGAGAACAAGAGATTGCTGCGTGATACTCGCGTCTCCCTTACAATACGCTACGTACCAAAAGTCTTGAATGTTAAACTAAAATTGGGGAAAAAATAACGTATAGGATTTAGGTAGATTTAAAGCTGTCCTAGCGCATGTAGCAGGGTTGTGATCAACCAGCAGCTATCAGGGTGAAAAATTATTTTCACAATTTGTAATATTCTGTATTTAGAGATAAATATTGTGAAATGCAGTTTAGTATACCCTCCCAGACTCTTCCAGAAAGATGTCACTTTGACTATAGAGCCTCGTTTTCGTGTATATGACCGCTGCATGGTTTCCACTATCAAAGTTTCTGTGACCACAGTAGGAATTTTGCGTGGATAAATTCTAAGTTTTGAAGGATTTGTAAGAAATGTTTGAGAGAACTGACTTAATGTTTTCCTCAAACATTTCTTACAAATCCTTCAAAACTTAGAATTTATCCATGCAAAATTCCTGCTGTGGTCACAGAAAGTTTGATAATGTAAAGCTGCCTTTAAAGGCCAACATCACGAAAACGAAGCTCTCCAGCCAAGGTGACGTGCTTTCCTGAAGAGTCGGGTATTTTCAATATTGCTGACGTTCACTATCATCAGATGCACAATACACACTCATGCATGCTTTGAAGCCCTCGATATTTCTCTATATGTACATGAATAAAAATTACATTACTGCACAAAGTGTTTTCCTAACTAATTAGTTTTGCTTACATTATATATTACATTATTTACAGCCACGGCTTTAGCATAAACCTTCACTAATTTCCCCTAATTAACTGTTCATTTCTGCTGTGGGAACATAAATATGCAATCGAATTCGTTTAGTTGAATCGTTTCCATCCATACCTCGACTCCTAGTTCCACTATTATTTACTCTTTGACCCTGTTCTTCAAAGTGTTTAGCCGTTCCGACAACTTTGTAATCGACTGTCTTTCTTTCAGGCTTTAATCT